AGAAGAAGAAGAAGAAGAAGAAGAAGAAGAAGAAGAAGAAGAAGAAGAAGAAGAAGAAGAAGAAGAAGAAGAAGAAGAAGAAGAAGAAGAAATTAAAATAGTTATTAAGATAAAATGTCATATTCTATACATCAATCAATCAATCATTTTTTTTTTCTCTCACAACTATTTATTTATCTATAAAAAAAATTTACAAATCATTCCAAACGCAAATTTTTATTTTTATTTTTTTCATTTCATAAAATAGTCAAAACATCAACTAAGATAACCAAGTTCCCAAGCAAGGGCTAAACATTTTAAATTAAGTACTAAATGTCAAATTCTTTTAAGTTAAAAAGATGTTTGATAAAAATTTAAGTGTTCAATTAAATTATTTAATATATAAAAGATCAAATTTAAAATTTATTATTTTTAAATTATATATTTTAATTTTTATATTATGATGGTGATGGAGGTGATGACAGTGGCTTTGATGCTAATGATGTCAATTGTGGTGGAGATGGAGGGATAATGGTTGTAATGATAGTGGAAAGGTAATGTAATGGAGATAGAAAGAAAATAGCGGCGATGGTGGTTAGTGTGGTGGTAGAATGATGGTGGTGATTATGCCAATGGCGACAATGGTTGTGAGATGTGAAGGGTAGGAGTAGTTGTACTGGTGATAATGACAGTGATGATTGTGATGGTGTTAATGAATGACGGTGGTATCGATGACAACAGTAACAATGGTGATGGGTGTGGTGATAATGAAAGGGATGGTAGCGGTGATAACAGTAATGGTGGTGGTGGTGGTGAGGTTATAATCGTGCACGTCAACGATTATGCAAAAATATTTATAAATTCAACTAACATTAAGTAAGTTTACAATCAATTAAAAATTTCTTAACTTTTAACTTATATTGTAAGAATTATTTAAATTTTTAAATGATACGATTATGATTATCAAATAAGTTTAATTAGTTTTCATTTAATATATTTAGTTTTAAGTGCTGAATTAAATTATCAACTATTATCATTACCTTATTGACATAACATACTTAATTTTAAATACAGAATTTTGAGTTGGGTTTCATTTTGAGTTCAATAAACCTTATCATTATCGAATACAATTGTTGTTACATAACACATTTAATTTTAAGTACAAAATTTTAAGTTGGGTTTCAATTTGAATTCAATAAACCTTATCATTAATATGATTGCTGTCATATATTTCGTACAAATTTATATTTGTTTTGGATTGATGCATCTCCTTTTTCATCATCAAACAAGAACTGGCATTATATTCCAAGTTCTAACATGGTATCTAATCCTCTAATGAACTTTATCTGCATAATTAGATGGGGGATTTGGTGATAGACCCCTTACTGTCTAATTTATCTTTCAAAAGGATAAAAATTATATAGGTACTTTCAAAACATCCTAATATTTTAAAATTTGTTTCTTTTACTATATTACCCTCATATCTATTAGCTCTCTTATTAAGCCATCTTTACAGTGTATTTTAGAGTAAAATTTTACTTTGAATCATAGTAAACTTTACAAAATAAAATTTTATATTCTGAATCAGAATAAAGTTTACTATGATTCAAAATAAAATTTTATATTGTTAAGCAAATCAACATGTTTTTAACCAAAGTAAAATTTTACTCTGAATCAGAGTAAAATTTACTATGATTCAAAGTAAAATTTTATATTGTTAAGCAAATCAACATGGTTTTAACCAAAGTATAATTTTACTTTGAATCATAGTAAACTTTACTCTGATTTAGAGTAAAATTTTACTCTGAAAGTACAATTTTACTATGATCTAAGGAGAGTATCCACTTTGAATCACACTAAGTGTCATGTATTAATAACCTTGTGTGTTTGGTTGCTGAGAAAATTACAAAAACATAACAAGAAAACCAAATATAGTTTGGTTGTTGAGAAAATTATGTTGGAAAAAATGATTTTTGGGGACTTTAATTTAATATTAAAGTGTGGTGACTTTAATTAAATATTAAAGTGGGTCCTAACCATTTTTTGTGTTGGGTCCAAGTGAGCCAAAAACCATTGGATTTTGAATAAGAAATTGCCAAGAAATTGCTTCATGATATTAGATTCATGAATAGGATTTTAAAGAGTATTTAAATCTTTTTTTCTTGACTAAAGGGTATGAATCCTTTGGGCATCCATAGTTTTCATTTTGTGAAAAGGGGCCATGGATGCTTGGTGTTTTAATGACTAGCCGTAAAGGCTGGAGGCTTTTCCTCTCTCCCCTATACATGTATAAATTGAGATCCTCCTGTCAAGTTTCAATATAGAAATTTTTGCTTCCATTTGACAAGTCAGTTTGCTTAATAGTTTCTATTGTGAGAGAGTGCTGCCATTGTTTTGTTCGCTAAGCTAGACAGATAGTGCTTCTGCCGTAGCTGGTTTTGACCGTCGTATCTTGGGAGACAGACGCCGGGTTTCCTCAAACACTCAACCCGTGAGGCGGCGAAATCTGTTTTAAGGAAACTGCTTCCGTGCAGGTTTCAGTTTTGTTTCTTTACCCTTTATTATTTTTTTGTGCATTTCTATTGAAATTTAGTTGTAATTATCAGCATATATTCTTGGTATATAATTTGTTTTCTTCATAAATCTATTTATTTAATTTCATAATTTTGAACAACAAGCTTAAAACAGAATTATATATCTTTTCTATGAAATTGATTGAATAGATTTATATAGACTATTAGGTTAGCTTTGTATAATGTTACTAGGAATTGTTGCGGAATTGCTCACTATTTCAATAATTGTAAATTATGCAATGGTACTCTCTAATTGCTTAGTTTAATTAGAATGCTCTATTATAATTTGCATACTTAATTGTATTAGTATGATCTTGTTTTATGCGTATGGTTCATCATTTCCCTACCATGATTTGCATGAATTTTAAGGTTATAAAATATAATTTATGGATGTTGCAATTTTGACATGCTAATTCTATTCTAGTCTCAATTTGTTACATGCTTATTATTTTCTAGGATAGATTACATAATTTAATGTATTTGGAGTTATAGAGTTTTATGAATTGTGTACATGATTAATCTAAATTATCTAATTGTGTGCATTAATATAAATTATTTAATTGGGTGCATTAATCTGAATTATTTATTTGGGTGCATTAATCTGAATTATTTAATTAGGTGCATTAATCTAAATTATTTAATTGGGTGCATTAACTTTGAATTTGACTTATCTATTTGGAGTTATTCGTTTAAATGTTTATTATGAATTAATTTCATTCATGACTTATGAGTATTGAACTTTATTTTAAAGTTGTAATTTAATTTTGAAGTTACAAATTGTATTTTGTTTTGGTACCTTATATTAGTTGGTTACTTATATAATTAATAGTTGGCTAGATGGTTTCAATTATTTATTATAATTTAATTTTTTAGATTATTTGTTTGTATTTTGTTGTGGTTTGCTACTATCTTTTTTTGTAGGGATACCAATGCGAAAAACAAATATAAAACCAAATGAATAGTATTTGGGATGTAAAAACAAAAATGCTTGGACTACTAACTTTTGTGTTGAATAGGAATACCTAAGCGTGGAAAGGCTTTTGGACTAAATAGAATCCTTATGGATTGGCTATTTTATTTAAATGTTTGAAGCATGTTTTTTGCTTGAGATGTAGTTGGTTTGTTTATCAATTTGTGGTAGCAAGTTTTATTTGCTTGTTTTGTTTGAAGCATTTTATATGCGTGTAATTGTTATAGCAATTTTTTAAATTGTTTGTAAGTTTGGAACTTGGTTTGGTTTTCTGTGATAGAAACCAAAGTTTTAGCTTTGGCTAAAGAGTAGTTCTTATTTGTTTAGAAATGACAACTAAGATGGATTTGGTTTCAAACCTTTGGAGTTTGAGAAAGTCTTTGGGTTTAATCATTTTATTCCCAAAGTGTTGGAAAATCAAATTTGGAGAAAGTCTTTGATTATAATCTGATTATGTCCAAAGTGTTTTGGTTTTGAGAAAGGAAACCAAATTTTAGCATTAGCTAAAATATTTTTGATTTTATTCAGAAATAATGGGCTTAGTTCCGGGAGTACCGGTTAACTTTTATGAGTGGTGTAATTCTGGTAGCAAATTTTATTTGCTTGGGAATCGGTTTGTTATAACCTGGTTTATCTTCTGAAAATCTTAATTTTTAAATTGTTTCCTATGGACTAGGAGTCAACAAGCTCTTGAATGTTTTGTCAAAAGGTTAACTGGGTTTTAAGTAGGACCGATGTGACCCCTCCAGTCTTCCTGGGAATATTCCTGACCATGTTCGATTCTAGGTTAAATGGTGAGACTAGTTTTGAATTAAATTTCCATCTAAGGGATTTTCTAAGGGTTAAGTTTATTTTCTGGAATCACAGAAGTGAAATTCTATTGTGATGTTTTAGAAATGGCTTCAAAAGGTGACAAACAGAAATGTTGTTCCACCTGACAACCTTAGCCTCGCGAGATTCTTAAAGAAAGATCTTGAGAGATCAAGTATGATTAAAGGAAATCATAAGATTGCATTAAAAATTTCTCTGATTTGATCAGAGGCAATTAGTTTGGTATCCTTATGATTGCTATGTGACTTTGCTTGAAAGCAAAGATGAGACAACCTGTTATAGTGGGTGAATATTTTTTTTTTTGATTTTTAAATTCCAAATATATTCTTAAATTGGTGGTTCCTGGTGAGTACAAGATCACTGATCACAGAGATAGAAAACTGGTGGTTCCTAGGAGGTGCTAGACCACTGGCTACACAGTTATGAGATTGTGGTTCCTAGTAGTAAACAGATTACTGATCACATGTCAAGACATCATGATTCCTAGTAGTGGAGAGACTACTGGTCATATGTCAAGACATGATGATTCCTAGTAATGAAAGAGTCTATTGACCCTATGTCAGGACGTTGTGATTCCTAGTAGTAAAGTGACTACTGATCACAGGTTAAGACATTGTGAT